AACCGCTGCTTATTTAGGTGTTCCATGTGATTGGTATGTTTTATTCTCACCCTTTCACCTTCAGTATGTGGATGTCTTTCCCTGTGAGATGAGTCTCTTGAAGGCAAAATATTGTTGGGTCTTTTTTTTTTTAATTCCAATCTGTCAGTTTATGTCTTTTAATTGATGAGTTTAGGCCATTCACATTCAGGGTTACTACTGAAATATGATTTGTATTCCCGGACACTTTGGTTATTTTTGGTTTTTAATTTGACTTGGTTTCTCCTTTGATTGGCTTTTCCTTTCATGTAGTTCCACCCTTTGCTGATTTTCATTGTTGTTTTCCATTTTATTCTCCTGGAATATTTTGCTGAGGATGTTTTCTAGTGCAAGCTTTCTTCCTGTAAATTCTTTTAACTTTTGTTTATCATGAAAGGTTTTTATTTCATCATCAAATCAGAAGCGTAATTTGGCTGGATACAAGATTCTTGGTTGGCATTCATTGTCTTTCAGTGTTTACTTTATATTGTTCCAGGATCTCACTGGCTTTGAGGGTCTGGGTTGAAAAATCTGCTGAGATATAAATTGGTCTGCCCCTGTATATGATCTAATTCCTCTTTCTTGCAGCCTTTAAGATTCTATCCTTATTCTGTATGCTAGGCATTTTCATTATAATGTGTCTTGGTGTAGATTTGCTTTTATTTTGTACATTTGGTGTCCTGTAAGCTTCTTGTATTTAATTTTCCAATTCATTCTTCATGTTTGGGAAATTTTCAGATATTATTTCATTGAAGAGATTGTGTATCACTTTGGTTTGAATCTTTGTGCCTTCCTTTATCCCAATAATTCTTGGAGTTGGTCTTTTTTTTGTTAGTTGCTCAAAACATTACAATGATCTTGACATATCATATATCATACATTTGATTCAAATGGGGTATGAATTCTTATTTTTCCATGTGTACAGATTGCAGGATCACATTGGTTATACAGCCACGTTTATACATACTGCCATAATAGTGTCTGTTATATTCTGCTGCCCTTCCTATCCCCCCTCCCCTCCCTCCCCTCCCATCACCTCTCTCTACCCCATCTACTGTAACACATTTCTCTCTCTCTTTTTTTCCCTTCCCCCTCACAACATCTTATATGTAATTTTGTATGCTATCCATAATTCTTGGATGCTCTGCTCATGGTTTCTTACCATTTTCACTGTGTGGTCAACTTTATTTTCAAGATTGTATATACTTTGCCCTCATTATCTGAGACATTCTGTCTTCCAAATGATCTCGTCTGTTGGTGATGTTTTCTATTGAGTTTTTAAATTTGGTTTATTCTTTCCTTCATTTCAAGGATTTCTGATTTTTTTTTCAGAATCTCTCTTTCTTAAAGTAATTTTTGCTACCTGTATTTGCTACCTTATCTCTTTATTGGAGTGATCAATTTTTGCCTGTATTTGCTCATTTAGGTCTTTCTTTAATTCACAGATCATTTTAATTATGTATATTCTGAACTTCTCTGACATTTCATCAACTACACTGTCCACGGATTCTGTTATTGTAGTATCCTGGTTTGTTTGGGGCACTTTTTCCTCTTGTTTTTTCATGTTCTCTGTGTGTCTTCCTTTCTTGAAGTATGGATCTGAGGTATTATAGTTTCTATCCTATAATCTTATAGTGTCCCTGCTAATTATCTGTATCTCACCTTGGTGTTGGGCTTCCAGACCCTGCTGGTGTCCCGGGATGGATGCTACTACAACTAAAGTAGTGGCAATAGCAGAGTGACTCAAAATAGCAGTGGGGTGTCCCAAGATGGATGCAACCACTTTCAGAGATGGGACTGAATGAGTAGGCCTTACAATGGCTTTGGACTGCCTGTTATGAAGTGTAGCTGTTTCTAAGCCCTGTCTGTTTTTGCAAGGTGGAGGCTACTGTGTGGGGAGGTCTATGGCAATGGCTGCAGTGTTCCAAGATGGAGGTGGGCTAGGCCTGGCTCCCAGGTGGGCTCAGGGGTTGGTGCTGTGCCTGACCTGGGCCTGAGTTCAGGCGTGGGTTTGCTCATCTTTTAAGATTTGATTATGATGTTCCTCAAGGTGATCGTAATGGTTGATCTGAATTGTCAGATTGATTGGATTAAGAGATGCTGAAGATTAAGAGACTTCTGGGTTTGTCAGTGAAGGTGTGTCTAGAAATGATTGGCATGTGGGATAGCAAACTGAAGTGGAGACCCTCCCTAAGCACAGTCAGCACCGTCCAATAGGTTGGAGGCTTGGAAGGAATAAAAGTTGGAAGAAAAAGGAAGCAGCGGCAGATGCAAGCTCCATTCTTCTTGAACAAGTCCTTGATTGCTGCTGTGACTTCCTGAGGATTTCAGACTCTCCCTCTGCTCTTCCAAAGCAGACTTTGCCAGTAATTCTCCAGGGAGTTTCCAGAAGACTTCAATCTTGAATTGGGGCAGCATCATTGATCCTTCTTGTTCTGAAACTTCAGCATTTTGAGATGCTCACTACTAGTTCCTCCAGCTCTCCAGCCTGCAGAAGGCCACTGTGGACTCTCCTGCTTCTGGTTATTTAAACCAATTTAATAAATCCCTTTTTTATAATCATACCTCCTGTTGATTCTGTTCCTCTAAAGAACCCTAATAGAGTGATTTTATTCATTTTTATTCCACCTGAGATTCATTGGGTTTCTGTAATCTGTGGATTCATAGATTTTAACAAGTTTGGAAACCTTTTTCCATCATTTCTTCAAATACACACATATATGAACTCTTAGCTCCAATTTCAGATTTGTTAGACTGACTGATGATGTCCCCATATCACTGATACACTATTTTTATCAGTTTTTTTTCTTTCTGTACTTTGGACAGACTGTGATACCATGTCTTCAACTTCACTGTTTTATTTTCTTTTTAAAGTGTATAAACTGCCATGAATCCCTCTCAGTTGTGTTTCTTGATTTCAAATATTGTGTGTTTCATCCTTAACTTCTTTGCATGCCTAGTGATTTCCATCTGGATGCTTGGCATTATTAGATTATTTTTGTTTTGAAAGAGAGTTGGACATTCTTTTGACATATCATTAATCTACATATCATATAATCCTCTGGAGGCTTACATGCACTCTTTTTAGGGTGGTTCCCAAGCAATCTTCCATTATGATGTCTCTATGTGATACCTTGTGAATCACGAGGTCTCTCGACTTAGGTTAACAGGATTGAAAACTATTCCCAGTTTTGTATGAACTCTTTGAATTGCTTCACCTGCTGTTTTCTATTGGTTATATCCACAGCTTTGTGGAGTTTCAACTCATACATGTAAAGAAGTATTCAGATACATGTAGCTCCCTGTGTGCATGTGAACTTCATCTCCAAGGTTCTGCCTCTTGAATTCTAGTCACTTCAGTCTCCTCAAACTTCACTCTATTCTCAGCTCAGTAAAACAACTGGACCTTTTTTAGTTTCTTTCTTCTGTGCAGACAACCTAAAATCTCCCACATTAGGAAACCTCCTCATTCGGAAAAGAATATATAAAATGAAAAGGACTCATTCAGAGAATGATGAAGCCAGTAAGGGAACATATGGATAGAAGAGAGAACGTTTTTTGAAAGAAATCCAGAAATAGGAAGAGGGAAGGGGAAAGTATTTTAAGAAAGAAGGCATGTTCAATAGTATCAAACGTTTTTGAGGGGTTAACTAAAATGAGGAATTAAATTCGTATATTGGACAAATACTACGTATCTAGAATATATATAATATTTTCTAAATTCAACAATAAGAAAATTAAAATCCCTATTTAAAAAATGAGCAAAAGATCTAAAAAAACAATTCACCAAAGCAGATATACAGAATCCAAACATGCATATAAACATCCTCAAAATCATTAGATATATGGAAATTAAAATTAAAATGAGATATCACTATATACCTATTAGAATGTCTGTAAAACAAAGAAACAGTACCAAGCAATACCAAGTAAGGATACAGAACAACAGCTTTTACTAGTGGGAATGCAAAAATAATACAGATGCTATGGAAGAACAGATAAGCATTTTCTCATCAAGTTTAGAATGAAGTTCCTATAGGACTAGGCAGTCCAACTCCAAGGTTCTTACCCAAGAGAAATGAAAACTTATGACTACATAAAAATTTGTATGTGAATGTGGAGAGCAGCTTCTTTCACTGTCACCCCAAACGGGAAATGATGCAGATTATTCAGTAGGTAAATGGACAAAAAAGTTGTGGTATATCCCTATAATATATACTACCCAACAATACAAAGTAGTGAACTCTTGATACAGTCAGAAACATAGATGAATTTTAGCGTATTTTCAAAGACAAAGAATCTAGGCTCAAAGGGCTACATATTTTATGATTCCTTTGATATAAAATTTTGGAAAAGGTAAAAACAAATTAAATAGAGAATAGATTAGTGATTACCATGGGTTTGGAGTGAGGGGAGTAGATAAGTACAAAGGGAAAGCATGGAGGAATTTTTGGGGTGATGATCTGTGTTAAAACTGTGGTGGCAGGCAGGGACATGAATGCATGCATTTTTCAAAACCCATGTTACTAGTCAACAGAAAGAGTGATTTTTTTTTTTTTTTTTTTTTTTTTTTTTTTTTTACTGTTTGTAAATTTGTAAAGACAACTAAGACATGTGGGAACCCAAAATGGAAGACACCACAATAAATGAAATTAATTATGTTACAAATGAATAACATTAATACAATGAAAGGAGGGGGAAAAAAAACCTAAGGTATTAGATAAGGTGAGAAAGCAATTATTATGGTTTAAATATGAGGTGTCCTGCAAAAGCTCATATATGAGACAATGCAAGAAAGTTTAGAGGTGAAATAATTCTGTTAAGAGAGCCTTAACCTAAACAAAACATTCATCCACTTGAATGGATTCACTGGGTGGTAACTGTACGCAGGTAGGGCGTGACTGGAGGAAGTAGGTCACTGGGGCGTGCCTTTGTGGTTTATATTTTGTCCCTGGTGAGCAGAGTTCACTCTCTGCTTCCTAATGCCATGTCCTGAACTGCTTTCCTCCTTCCACCCTGATGTTCTGCTTCACTTTGGGCCCAGGGCTATGGAGTCAGCTGACCATGGACTGAGACCTCTGAAATTGTGAGTGCCAAATGAATTTTCTCTCCTCTAAACTTGTTTTTTTCAGGTCTTTTGTTCACAGAAGAAAAAACGCTGATAAAACAGCAGTGTTTTGACTAGATACTATAAGACTAAGGACAAAAAGAAGTGAACACAAATGTTGAGCTCTAGTTCAAACATGGATTCTTACAGGGATGTGGATCAGCGATTCTGAAACTGCTTTATATGCACGTAAGAGTTAAAAAATAAGTAGTATACTGTCGATAATGAGAGCCAGATTTCTCACTTTTGGAGAAAGAAATTATAAATAAGGAAAAAGGGAAATCTAGAATAAACCCTGTGGTATTGGAATTGAGTCAGATATATCAGTAGGAAATATGTTTTAAAAATATATGTAGTTATAATTAGATATGAAAATAAATATAGATGTGAGTATACATGGCTTAGCATAGTCACGTATGTTTCCTGGCTGCATTCACAGAAAGGCCTGGAAGCAATGGCACTCCAGTAGCAATGAGCACATATCATCATTTCGAAACAGATTTTTTCCATTGAAAGAATCCAAAGCTCCTTGGAGATGAGTGAATTCCAAGTCCAGGACAGTGTGATGGTAACTCTTCTGTGTTTACTTGAAACTGGTCACAGCATACCCAGATATTTTGTTAAACATTATTCTGAGTGTGTCTCTGAGAGGAGTTACTTCTAAATGAGATTAACATTTGAATCAGTGGTCTGTGTAAAACAAATTGCTTTTCCTGTCCAATCTACTGACGGGGAAACCATTAAGCTGGGACACCCATCTTCTCCCACCATTGTCTTTTGACTTGAACTAGAACTCTGTACCATTGGCTCTCCTGGTTCTCTGGCCTTCAGACTCAGACTGAAACTTGCATGGTCAGCTCTCCTGGGTCTTCCACTTGTCAACTGCAGATCTTGGGACTTTTCAACTTTCACAACCATGTGAGCCAAATGTTCATAAATAATCTCTTTTTATGTATATCTCCTATTGGTTTTCTTTCTCTGGAGAATCCAGACTAATACAGGCAGGAAAACTAAACTAATACTTTCCAAGGTAAGCATGGAATATATTGTGAGGCCAGAAAGTAAATGCTCATAGAAAGACAGTCATCTCAGAAGGACATGGGAACCAGCCTAAAGGAGTTCTAAATGGCTAGAACTGAAACAATTAAAAAGCATAAAGAACGTGTATATATATATATATATATATATATATATATATATATATAGTATAAAAAATGATCATATTGGATTATGATTCATAGAATAAAATAAATATCTATGAGCCAGAGTGATATAAATGTATAATGAAAAAAATAGAACAGAGAATACAGCTTCATATTAAAGATTGTTTCCAAGCAGCAAACACAGAAGAACTAAGGAAAACAAAATCAGCACTGGAACACCTGTGTAATAATTGTTGTAGGCAAGATCGACTAATGGATGCTAAAATTAGGGGGCAAAAGTTAAAGAAGTATCTTCCTACTACATCCGTAATTCCGAAGGGAAATATTGTAACATTACACTGGAAATCTGCTTAGTCAAATGATCCATTAATGTCCCCAGGAGTAAGATATACTGACATCACATACCCCTGATACCATGCATTGGGAAGGGTACAACATCACTGCTGTGATGTTGCCAGAAATTTATCTATTCAATGTGATCATGAGGAAACACTGGAAAAACCCAAGCTGAGAGACATTCTATAAAACAATTGACTAACATTCTTTGAAAGTGTTATGATCGTAGAAGGCACAAAAAGGAACAGTCACAGCTGGGAGAAGACAAAAAGAGATGACAGTTAAATGCAATACAGGATCATGAATGAAAAACTGGAATGGACTAAGGAAATTAGTGAAAAACTCAGCTGGAATCCAAAAGATGTCATAGTAGAGCTAATAGTGTCATACTAATATTAACTTCTTCATTTTGATGACTGTGCTTTTGGGTATACAATATATCTACATTACAGGAAGCAGTGAACATTATAGAGGAGAGCTCTGTATTGTACTTGCAACTTTTCTCTAAATCTAAAAATGTTTCAGAAGAAAAATTTAGTAAGATCATTTTTTTAAAATCCGGCAGTGGGGATGCTGCTGGGAACCAGAGCAAGATGGCAACCAGACCAGAATGATCCAAGTGGCGTAATATATTAAAATGTTAACTAGGTAGAAACATTTTTTCAAAAACATGTTTCTGAAGGGTTTGTCAAGCTCTAGATTGGTAAATTGGTGAAAGAGTGAGTGTGATGGGCTTGATTTTCTTTTTACCAGGAATTGAATCTAGGAGTGCTTACCCACTGAGCCACACCCACACCCTTTTAAAAATTTTATTTATTTTTTTAAATTTTGAGACAGGGTTTTAGTTGCATAGGGACTCACTAAATAGCTGAGGCTGGTCTTGAACTTTTGATCCTCCCATCTCAGCCTCCTGAGCTGCTGAGATTACAGGTGTGCATCATTGTGCTCAGCTTAATTCACTTTTAAGATGAGAGGATTACAAGGGCCACTTGAGTTGGGTGATCATAAACTTACAGGAGGTGAAACTGCTGTGTTTCATGACAATCTCTATTAGACCTACTTATTCAGAACCACATTTGAAGAAAGTTTGTAGAATATACCCAGAGTTGAGATTTTTCTCAGATAGGTAAAGTAGAAAAGTAAGACTGGAGGTAAAGTAGACTGAAAGATAGAAGGGCAAATAAATCTAAGTGTTATTATTTGTAAACTGTACATGGAAACAAGCAAAGAAAGAAAATGGATAATGAATGAGGAGAAATGAGGAATTAAATAGGAAATAAAATAGATTCTGAGGTATGCAGGTCAACAATTCCATCACATATGGGTCTGATGGTCTAACATATCCGTCTTTGGCAGGGAGGTGCCTGCCAGTGCTGGTTTATGATTCAGTTTTTTTTTTTTCAAATCTGCTAAGACAATAACAGATGGTCATCTGCTGTCCAGGTTCCTCTTATTTCCTTTTTCATTCTTTATCCTTATGAGTGTATGATTTAAAAATGAAAAAAAAAAAAGATTTTTTTTCATTTTTAAATCATACACTCACCAAGGATAAAAAAACCCAAAAACTCTATTATTATTTTGGTAGGGTTCCATGGAGGAGTGAGAGCAAACGAGTACTCTTTGTCTATTATCAGTTGAAAGTAGTCTCCTTCCTCCATTTTAACCCACAAATAAGAGTTGTTCTTGTGTCACTTGTCTTGCTTCTGCTGACTCTTCCTAGTGCCTTATGTCCTTGTGTGTTGAATTTTATTCATTTCTTCCATTGAGTCTGTTATTTATTTTTTTGAAATCATAGTTTGTTGGATGTAATCTCTGTATCTACCAATGGTTTAAATTACAGATACTTCACTACAGAAAGGAATTTCATGAATTTCCTCCAGAACCCAGGAGTGGATAAAGCTGAAACCTCTTCAAAACCTGTCAAATTCATAATGCAACTTTGACACAGATCTTATTTTTGGTGCATTATAGCACAAATATCATCATTGGCTCCAAGGATACTCCCTTTTATGTTACTCAGTGCTTACTGCACCTTATTAAATTTCAACTTCTGTTTTGTTTCTCTCTCCTATTTCCTTACATTCTAGCAAGTGGAGTAATGTATTAAAATAGTTTATTTTACCATTTGCAGACCCTCTTGTGTTTTTAGGAGAGCCCAGCTACAGAATCTATCTAGCTGCACTTGGGAATAGGAAGCCTGGTGGAACTCTGTTCTTACTTGCAAAATAGGGTGGAAACAAGAAGGTTACGTAGATGCTTCAATAGAAATAAGGTGGGCTTTGACATCACAGCCCAACTAGGTATACATTCTTGATTTTATTGCTTCCTAGTACAAAGACCTTCAGCAAATTACCTAAACATTTATTGAGCCTCAATTCATTCATGAACAAAATGAGGAAAATAATTATGCATTTCAGAGTTGCATGAAGACTAGACATAATTTATGCAAATACTGTGCAAACATCTCTCACATTCTTCCAGTTCACCCTATCTCAGTTGGAGGTATCACATGTGCATGTGAAACTCACCTGCTAAGGACTGAAGATATTAAAAAAAAAAAAAAAATCACAAAGTGCCCCTGAAGAGTTTTCATTCTCAGAAGCATGCATAGTTTTATTTATTCTTTTGGTTTGATTCATTTTGCCTTGGAAGAAATGTGAGTGAAAAAAATTCATAATTGCAGATGCAGTTGGAATAAAAATAAATTACCACGGCAAGTTAAGTCTCTAAGCAGATGGCAGATTTTCCTTTTTATTCTGGTACATTCTAGTAGTAGGGCTCCAATACACAATAATCAGAGTTTCAACATTTCAAGAGAATGGTTAACTAAAAATTCAGAATCAACTTTGAAAAAGCCATGTGTACGAGTTTGACCTGGCTCTGATACAAGTGAGGGTTCATGGGGTTAATAGTGGGAAAATGCCTAGCACTGCTTTTCTTCAATGAAGGTCTGCCTGGCCCAGGGCTCCAACATCAAGGCCTCTGTCTGAAGCCAAAGAATATATGACAAATAGCAGCTCACACCTGACAACAGTCAGGGTTTAAACTCAACAGGGCAGGGATTTGAAATTCTGCCAATCCTTGCATTTTTTTCTGATTAGAAGTATTTTACAAGTTTACAAGGGGCTCAAAAGTGGACTCAAGAGCTCTGTGGCTCCTTGTAATTTGGCACTGGGCTTTTAGAATGGACTATGCCTCAACTACAATTAGCCCAAACTTCCAAAATTCCACATTTTAAGTTAAAATGACTTTTTTTCTAACTATATCAGTTTTGGAAGAAGTGGGGAAAAAGTGTCTACAAAAGTTGCATGAGGAATTAATTTACTTGTGAGATAGCATAAAATATAGTAGGGGGGAAGATTCTAGAGCTAGACTGCTTGATTAATGATCTTCCTTCTGTCCACTCATTATCTTTGTGACCTTTAGCAAGTTAATTAACCTTGATGTTCCTCACTTTACTTGGCTATAAAATGGGAGTAA